ATGTGTAAGCTGGAGGCTAAAAAACTGTGAGCTAGCTCTTCTCCTAAAATGGTAGATTAAAAGTATGTTATTTGTAATGCATTATTCACCTGAGGCAAAAAAGGTACTATCCCTACACCTAACCTAAAACCAATACCTTTCTTATTTTTTTATTATTTTTTTTAACCAGAACATTTTATTCGTATTCAACCATAATGTGTAACAACAAACAACAAGAGTTACAGAAATCCACTTATCCTACCAATGCAATCAAATATACAATCAAAGAGAGGTTCCACGGAACAAAGCCATAAAGGTCATAGAAACATTAACCCAATAGCAATCATAAAATTTCTTGACGCCCGCAACCATGACACACTTCCGGTGATGTCAGGGGGTGTGGCCTTCTGTCACTTCCGGTGATGTCAGGGGGCGTGGCATATGCAAATAAGTTATGCTAATGAGTTATGCTAATGAGCTCCGGCAGCTCTTTTTCTACAACAAGACCCCTGACAATGCCAATAACTTAGCAGCCACATGAATACCCAGAAGACAGTCAGAAATGGACCTCCTTGGTCATGGATGCAGCTCATTGCAGGCTTCAGCCCCGGTCCCCTCCATTACACAACTAAGTGTCCAGTTGAAGAGGACAAATTGAGATGAGTGGCTCAGTGGTAGAGCTCATGTTTTGCATGGGGAAGGTCCTAGGCTGAGTCTCCTCTCCGCTATGTCCAGTTAAAGGATTTCAGCTACAGTTTTGGAAAGAGTCTTCTCTGAGACACTGACACACTGCTGAAAGTCAGAGGAGAGGGTAGTAGCTAGGTGGACTTTGGCAGGGCATCCTTCAATATAAAACAGTTTCTTGTGTATAGTCACAACAAAGCCCATAAGCTAGTTTTTCCTGTCATGGCTTTCCTATCTTTCTCAAAGAACCCTGGGAAATGTAGTTCTGCCACCTGGATTAAGGGTCTTTAACAATTTTCCTCAGGAAATTTATCATCCCAAACTGCTTCTTTTTAAGCCAAAGGTTGCCATGAACCTTGATAACAAGCGCACAATGTGGTCACCACACAGCGAAGTCAATTTCAGTTGATTTCCCGACATCAAAAGTGAGCCGAAGATGGTTGTGTGAATCTGCTCTGAGGGCAAGTGGGGAGGGGTGGGGGGGGATCAGTACGCCCCGCTGGATGACAAAGCTTTGCCGTAGAACAGAGTGTGAGTCAGTGCCTTTGTTGATCTTGGATCCTCTCCAGCCCACTGCCTGCTCTCACCTGAAGTGCAGACCTAGCAAAACTGGCAGTGGGTTGGTGACAGGTTAGTGTACAGATAGGCCCCACAAAGACGGGCTGCATTTTTAAGCTCAGCTACAGGCCTGAAATTAGCAGAGGGGCTGTGGCTCAGCGGCAGAACACACGCTTTGCACACAGAGCTGCAGAATGTTGAATCAGGATCCAGGGAGACCTAGGTTCAAATACCCACCGGCTGTGAAACTCATTGGGTGGCATTGGGCAAGTTGCTTTCTCTCTGCCTAACTTACTTGACAGGGCTGTTGTGAGGATAAAATGAGAAGGGGCCTGCTTGAGCCAAATATGCCACACTGAGCTCCTTAGAGGGAGGGGGCATTACAGATATAATCATTCAGAATGTTCCGGTTTCATTTCCTGGTATCTCCAGCAAACTGGAACAATTAGATAGATTATATTAGTTAACCCACCCCAAAGCCATCTAGTGAGCTCCCTGGTCCGAGGGGGAATTTGAATCTGAGTCTCCATTCTCTGAGTTGAACCATTACAAAATATTGACTCTGCATAATAACACCAGCCTACCTTGTAGGGCTGTTGTAAAGATTACTGAGCGAATCTGAAGCACTTGAGGGGATAATTGCAAATGTGAACAATATTTTTTATTATTTTGTACATTTATTTATTTTTATTATTTATTATTCCATTTCTATCCCGCCCTCCCCTCAGGCTCAGGGCGGCTAACAATTAGGGCTCAAGGTCATGCTTAAAACAGTTAAAACAAGATAAAACAATACAATAATACAGTAAAGTGCTGGTGCTCCAAATGTCCATTCTGATGCATATATGAGGTATATGTTTATATAGCAGCACATGTGTGCATAATGCCATTAGGAACAGCACTGTGTTTTTAATAAAGACTATTTGGACATGTTTCGCCATCTAATTGTGCATCTATATATGTTAGTTGCGTGAGTGTCTGGGGCGGGGGGGGGAGAAGAGGATGCCGTTTTCCTTGCTGAGCCACGCTAACTAGCTCAGATGCTGGCTGATGCTATGCAGAATTTGGGGTGGTGTCTCAACATGTTCTGGCGCTGGCTCAAGCCATGCAAGACACCGTGGGAAAAAGGAAGGAATCCCTTTGATTTCAGCACCTATTGTTCATGATGTCATGGCTGACCCCGCCCTCCTGTCCCCCCCCCCCTTTTGTCTTCCCCACACCTCCCATCACGAGCCTGGACATGTTGGGGTGGGGAGGCAGCAGAAAGGGCAGAAGAGCAAGCTTTGAGAAAGAGATTTGTCTGCATCTGGACCAGGAGTTTCTTCTTTTGGCAAAAGCGATTTCTGAGCAGTGCCTTCCCCTCCAGCCCAAGCCTATGCTCCAACTGTTCCTATCTGCCACAGGCAGTCCTTAGTTTCTGGTCCCAGATTCCTTTGGGGTAGCCATGTTAGTCTGTTGCAGCACAGAAACAGCACCCTTGAAAAATACGCAGACATAGAGTGATTTCAGCAAAGCGTACTTTATTCGATCAGGAACAAGACGACTTTGGCCGGCTCGCAGGCCGGCTTATATTCCCCGAGAAACTGCCACCCAAAACACACACCCAATTCCCAATAGGTTATTTACAGTGGCCGAGAGTCCCATAGGCTCTCGGCCAGGAACCTAACCCCCTGATTGGAGCGGGCTAGGATCCGCATAGTCCATTGTCTCTTGGAGTGAAGCTTGATGTTTGTGCCTGACCATGTGGAGCCCAAGCCGGTCATGCGGTCTGGACTGGATATATTACAACCCTCAAGCTGGACATATTGATTGCGGCATATGCTTTCATAGGCGGGAGAGCCCGTTTGGTCAATGTGAGCTCTAGCTCAGAAAAGCTTTTTTCCTGTCCCCTGTTCCTGGTACATCACTGTCTCCATTTTGTCCTGGTTTTTGCTTTCAGAGATGACTTGTTAAAATAGCTTGAGTAGGTTGCGTGACCCGCCTTCAGATCTCTCTCCTGTAGGGATGCCAGCCTCCAGGTGGGACCTGGGGATCCCCTGGAATTACAGCTCATCCCCAGACTACAGAGATCAGTTCCCCCTGGAGAAAATGGATGCTTTGGAGGGTGGGCTCCATTGTACCCTACCGAGGTCCCTCCCCTCCCCCGGCTCCATCCCCAAATCTCCAGGAGTTTCCCAACCTAAATATGGAACTCCTACTCCCCATCCCCCGTCGGTGGCCAGGGGACCTGGCAACCCTACTTCCCAGGGTCTTGGGAAGCTAGCTGTGCAATCCTAACTAGAGTTTCATCCTTCTTAGCCCATTGATTTAGAAGAGTATAACTCTCCCCAGGATTACACTGCAAAACTCTGAGTGGGGAATGAATGTGAGACTGGGTGGTAACCTGTTGCATTTCCAGTGTTTCTCCTGTTGTTCTCCCATTTTCCCCCAGACCTCCTTTGTGGTGATTAAGATGCAGTCACAGTACCTGGCTGTTTGGTATTGACGTTCAAAATGTTATTGAGATTTTTCAGGACTACTGTTCCTTTCAAAGATCCGCCTTTCCTTCCTGCTTTATTAATTACTTTCTGTTCTCTCACGGTTGTATGTGGTATCCCTGAATCAATTATTAATTATTGCTTCTTGTTTGGGGAGATTAAACATACTGCTTTCCACTTTGCAGCCAAAGCTATTGCTCATTCTGGTGTTTTTAGTTGACTGTTTATTTTTGCAATTTTGCAATTGTGCTATATTATAAAATTAAAGTAACAACCAATCAGTTTTATTGTAAATAGAATAGCATTACTTAACCCTCCCATTCAAATAATAATTTCCAATTGATGCATGAATTCCATAGCCAGCCATAAGAGAGAATGGGAGGTTATTAGTTAGGCTGTAAAACAAAGGGAGGGAATTACAGGGAGAAGCAGAGCCTTTTCTGAACAGGGCTTACTTCCAAGTAAATGTAGCAGTAGGGTATTTCCTGTGGAGACAGGCACTGCTGCATTCTTATGAAGGATTGCTGTGGAAAGTTTCTCTAAAGATTCTGGTTGCAGCTTGTTATGGAAGAGGAATGAGCAATATTCCAGTCTGGCATCCTCAAAACTGAAACACCAGGACAGAGATTCACCAGAGACAGACACCAGACAATGGAACAGTCCCTGGAAATTAGGGATAATTTGTATGTGTGTTGAACCTGCGGGAGTCAGGGGGTGCAGTAGTGCATACGGCAAGCAGTGTTCCCTCTAAGCTGAGTTAGTGTGAGCTAGCTCACAGTTTTTCAACCTCTGGCTCACACAGTTTTGTCTCAGCTCAGGAAGGATGGCTCCAGAGCAAACTGATGTATGCAGTAGCCAAATGGCTTGCTCACAGCTTTGATGGCTGTAGCTCACAAAGTAGAATTTTTGCTCACAAGATTCCACAGCTTAGAGGGAACATTGACGGCAGGGGCTATGGCTCAGTGGCAACACATCTGCCTGGCATGCAGGAGGTCCCAGGCTCAATCCCTAGCATCTCCGCTTTAAAGGATGAGGCAGTAAGTGATATGAAAGGACTCTGTCTGAGGCCGTAGAGAGCGGCTGCCAGTCTGAGTAGACAATATTGACTTTGATGGACCAAGGATCCGATTCAGTATAAGGCAGCTTCTTGTGTTCATATACAAAGGAGGCTTTGGGAGATCCGATCCAGAACGGCACCATTAGAGCAGCCAAACTCTATGGCCTGGCAAAATAACAGGCACTAGCACCAGCAAGTTATTCTCCCTTTGGTTTCCTATCTGACCTGACCTGCTGTCTTTCCAGGCAAAATGATGCACTCCCCAGTGGGGTGAAAATAAAGGGGGACACCCTGCTGTTCCAGAGACCGCTCAGCGTAGATGATGGAGGGGTCTACATCTGCCGAGTAACCAACAGCTTTGCCACCAAGGAGGCTGAATCGACCATCAACATAAAAGGTATAATTGGGGGGAGGGGTATTTATTTATTTAGGTATTTATACCCCAGTTTTCTCCCCACTGAGGAGGGGTAAAATAGCTTACATCATCAATCTTTCCTCCCTCATTCTGTCCTCACAACAACAGCCCTTTGAGATAGGTTAGGCCGAGCAAATAACTGGCCCACGTTTACCCAATCAGCTTCAATGGTGGGAATGTGGGTTTCACAGATCCCAGTCATACACCTCGCTGAATGGACTGTCCTTGAAGTAGGTCTGCTGTGCAGAACACACACACACACCACTTCCCCCCCATAGAATTTACTTATCCCATCACCATTCCACAGCAGGGGGACTTAGGCTTGCAAAGTCCCCCCGGAGGGTGGGGAAACCCCCGCCCCAGAGGCCCGTTCCCCGCCAGCGGCGGATTGGGCCCCAGGGAGAACCCCACCCCGACGTGCACGTCACCGGGAAGTGACGCCACCACGCCGGGCACGCTGGGGGTGGGGCCACGGACATCCGAGGGAAAACTCTATGGTTTTCCCTCGGATGGTCGTGGCCTCGCCCCCAGCGTGCCCGGCATGGTCGCGTCACTTCCAAGCGATGTGGATGCGGCACGCGCGCGCACTCCAGCCGCCAGACGGGAGTTTCCTGCTGCGGCGAAATTCAGACTTGGCAACCCTAGGGGGACTAGACCAGTGATGTCATCCATTTCTAGCCTATCAGTGCTGTGCACAACCAGCTTCTCCGTGAAACACACAAAGCTGATTTTGCCTGGGTTTTATTCAGGCAAAAGATACTATATCTGACTGTAACATGGTGGACTTGCTTTCAATCAAGATTCCTTTCCCATTGATTTCTTTGGCTGTACCTGAGTTCCAGTTGCAAATGATTGCTATAGTGCATTGAAAGTGCATTATCCAGCAAAGTGTGGAAGCGGCCATTCTCTGTCCCCTTCCACCACACTGTAATAATTTGTAAACTTCTATTGTGCTTCCCCAACTTTCCCCCCTAGAATAAAAAAACCCCAATGCTTCAGCATTCCCTGCATGCCAAATCTGTATGCAGATGGAGGTACCCGGCAGGGCTCTTTTTGTAGCAGGAACTCCTTTGCATATTAGGCCACACCCCCTAATATAGCCAATCCTCCAAGAGCTTACAGAGCTCTTCTTACAGGGGCTACTGTAAGCTCTTGGAGGATTGGCTTCATTAGGGGTGTGTCGCTTAATATGCAAATGAGTACCTGCTACAAAAAGAGCCCTTCCAAGCTCAGCATTGAAGCCTAAGGTGGTCCCTGTGTCTCCTGGCATCACACAGCGATCTTCTCCTTCTGTCTTTCCAACAGAGAACAAGGCCAAGCAAGTGAACGTCATGTCAGTCTCCATGATAGGAGCGGGAGTCATAGCCTTTCTGCTCCTCGCCTTACTGGTCCTGGTGGTCATCCTCATGACCTGCTACCACCGAAGGAAAACCAAACGGATCACCGAGAAATAGTAAGCGATGGGAATCGGGCATGGGAAGGAAAGAGTCCTGAGCTTCTGCCTCTCCCAAACAAACTAAAACCTCTGTATGTTTATTGAACATAAGAAGAGCCCTGCTGGATCGGACCAGTGGTCCATCTAGCATCCTGTCCCACACAGTGGCCAACCAGTTCCTCTGGAGGGCCAACAACAAGGCATAGAAGCTGAGGCCTTCCCCTGATGTTGCCTCCTGGCTCCGGGATTCAGAGGTTAACTGCCTCTGAATGTGGAGGTTCCCCTCAGTCACCACGGCTAGTAGCCACTGATAAGACCTATCCTCCATGGAATGTCATCTTGCTGTGGTGGGAGGGAGTGGGGCATAGTGGTACCTGGTGCATGAAGAGAATGGAACCTAGCAGGTTGGGGGAGCCGTCTGTCACAGGGTGGAACCTGGGGAAGAAAGTAGAGGGTCCTGCTTGGGGGCAGAGAATGACACTGGGCAGGTCAGGAAAGAACCTGGTTCCCAGCAGTGTATCCTGACAGACTCTCTCTCTCGTGTGTGTGTGTGTGTGTGTGTGTGTAGTGTATCACAAAAGCTCTCAAGCCAATGGGAGAGTAGCTTGTTCCTCTGAGATTTCTTCTCCCCTGGAGGCCCTGAGAAGGAGAATAAATCTTGAATGTTCAGGTTACAACCTGGACACCACCAATATTAATGGTTTGGTGCCACTCAGGTGTTCCTGCCATGCTTTTGGCGAAATTTGCAAGCAGTCCTGAGTTCTGATTTCAAATTTTCATTTTGATACTTTTGATGCATTTCATTCTATGTGTTTTATCGATGTGGTAAGCTGTCTCGAGCTCCGTCAGGCAGACAGGCGGCTGATGAGTGTTTTAAATAAAATAAAGTAAAAGGTCTCAGAGTTCTTCCTCTCCTTGTCCTCGGCAGTGAAGAGGAACTGACTTTAACGCGAGAAAACTCTATCCGGCGCATCCATTCAAGCCACAGCACTGACACGCGAAACCAGGTGAGGGCTGAGTAGCGTTGCCAACTCGGGGTTGGGAAATTCCTGGAGATTTGTGGGTGGAGCCTGGGGAGGGTGGGGATTGGGGGACGAAGGGACCTCAGCAGGGTTTAATGCCATACAGTATGCAGTACGCTGAACTGCAGGCTGTGGAAGGTCAGTAGTTCAGCAGTTCGAGACCCGGGTGCTGCATGACGGAGTGAGCTCCCGTCTCTAGTTCCAGCTCCTGCCAACCTAGCAGTTCGAAAGCAAGAAATTGCAAGTAGATAAATAGGTACCACTTTGGTGGGAAGGTAACAGCGTTCCGTGCGCCTTGGTGTTTAGTCATGCCGGCCACATGACCACGGAAACGTCTTCGGACAGCGCTGGCTCTTCGGCTTTGAAACGGAGATGAGCACTGCAACCCTAGAGTTGGATTTGACTGGCTTTCGAGCAAGGGAACCTTTACCTTTACCTTTTATATGCCCTCTGAAGCTGCCATTTGCTCCAAGCTGTAGGTCTCTGGCTGACTACCACTGAGAACAGAACCCCGGATTTGACGGCCTGATTCAGCCAGGCAGTCCCGACATTCTTAACCTGCTAGACAGAAGCAGCTCCTCCCTCTTGCCTTTATCTCCCCCATTGCAAAATTCACTTCTCTCCTTCCTTCCTATCCCCCTCAGTCCAAGGGTTGCCACCATTCAGGTTGGGGCCTGGAGATTTCCCTGAAATACAACCCATCTCCAGACTGTGGAGATCAGTTCTCTCTGGAGATCTGCTGGAATTTAGAGGCTTACGCTCTCTGAATTTGGGGAGTTCCATTTAGGCATCATGGCTAATAACCATTGATGGATCTATCCTCTGTGAATTTGTCTAATCTCCTTCTAAATCCAACCAATTTAGTGGTCTTTACTGCATCCCTCGGTAGTGAATTCTACACGTTCGTTAATCATTCTGAGTGAAATATCCTAGTGTTTGCCCCCACCATCTAGAACCTGGAGGTGTACTGCCTTCGAACATGGAGGTTCTATTTCACCATCATCACTAATAGATATTGATATAGCAGGAACTCCTTTGCATATTAGGCAACACACCCCTAATGTAGCCAGTCGTCCAAGAGCTTACAGTAGCCCCTGTAAGATGAGCTCTGTAAGCTCTTGGAGGATTGGCTACATTAGGGGTGTGTCGGCTAATATGCAAAGCAGTTCCTGCTACAAAAAGAGCCCTGGCAGATCTCCACAATTGTGTTTGTTTCTCCAGCCTATTCTCTTCATGAGCTGTGGCAGTCCTTCAGCACCCCCTGGAGGGAGGAAGTGGGGGGGGGAACCAATAAACAATTCACATTCTCTGAGTAGGGAGAGCCAACCCTGACGCCAGAAGATGTGAACTGGTCTGGCTTTGGATTTCTCTGGCTTCCCAAGTTTCAGGACCCTGGAGCTTTTGAAAGAAGGGTGGAATAAATTTCTGCAGAGAGGGTCCATAGTTTAGTGACAAGCACTTGAAGGTCTCAGGTTCAGTTCTTGGCCTCTCCAGTTATGTATATATACAAATGCCAACCAATTTAAGGCGACCCCAGCAAGGGGCTTTCATGGCAAGTGAGAAACAGAGGTGGTTTGCCTTTGCCTTCCTCCGCAGAGCCTTCCTTGGTGGTCTCTCTTCCAAGTACTGACCCTGCTTTGTTTCCAAGATCTCGTGAGACTAGGCTATGCCGTGCCACTTCCCTGGCCTCCTCTCCAGTTAAAGGATCTCAGACAGCAGGTTCTAGGAAAGAACTCTCTCAAAAAGATGCGGCTGCCAGTCAGTGTAAACAATCCCGGGTTAGATGGACCACCGGTCTGACTTGGTATATAAACCAGTTTAATATATATTCATTAAGTCTGCTCTTTAATAAATAACAACAATAATCCCAGGTAGTGTTAATATCATAGTATTGGAGGGGCTGTAGCATCTGCTTTGCATGCCTGTGGCCCTGGGTCCGGTCCCTGGCAACTCCGGTTAAGAAAAACCTCTCACAGTGCAGAGCTGAGGTCCTTGGGTGAGATGGTCTGATTCATTATAATCGTGCGACATTCGTTGGTGGACATGATCGTGTGCCATCAGGGTGACCCCGGGGTCACTGACTCAGGGTGACCCCAGAGGTAAACAGAGGTAGTTTGCCACTACTTTCCTCTGAACAGCAACCCCAGTCGTCCTGGGTGGTCTCCCATCCAAAGACTAACGGTGGCCGATCCTGCTTAGTTTCCAAGCTCTGACAAGATCCGGCTAGTCAGAGCTATTCTGGCTGCCGGTTGGCAGGCAACTCAGTGGTTGAGGGTGTCCAGAAGATCCCTGGCGTCTCCAGTTAACGTTGGATTTATACCCCGCCCTTCACTACCTGAAGGAGTCCCTGAGCAACTTACAATCCCTTTCCCTTCCCCTCCTCACAACAGGCACCCTGTGAGGTAGGTGGGGCTGAGAGAGCTCTCTTGAGCACTGACCTTGAGAGAACAGCTCTGAAAGAACTTGTGACTGACCCAAGGTCACACCAGCAGCTGCATATGGAGGAGTGGGGAAATCAAACCCAGTTCTCCCAGATTAGAGTCCGTGCTCCTAACCACTACACCAAACTTACTATCCAGGGCTGTATCAGGGCGGGGACAGAGGGAATGTGGGATATTGCAGGCCCCTTCCTTGAAATTCCAGCTCACCATGTAAGCAAAAATGGGCAAGTATCTATGCGTGTGCAAGTATTATGCGCTGGATGGCCATGGGTCAGTCATTTTCTCTCACCCTAACCTACCTCATGGGGTTGTAGCAATGACAAAATGGAGGAAGGGAGACTGAAGTCGTAAGTGGCTTTTGGTCCTCACTGAGGAGAAAAATGGGATATAAATAAATAAATAAACCTTCTGCTGCCTTTGATTGACACTAAGACAAGCCAGTGCGGTGTAGTGCTTAAGAAATGTGGTTTTTTACCCCGCTTTTCTTTGTCCTGAGGAGTCTCAAAGCAACTTAAAATCACATTGCCTTCCTCTCCCCACAACAGGCTGAGAGAGTTCTCAGAGAATCGTGACTGGTCCAGGGTCACCCAGCAGGCTTCACGTGGAGTGTCAGACTAGTGTCTAGGAGACCCAGGTTCGAATCCCCACTCGTGCCATAGAAACTCACTGGGTGACCCTGGGCCAGTCACACATTCTCAGCCTAACCTACCTCATAGGGTTGTTATGAGGATACAGTGGAGGAGAGGAGAATGATGTAAGCCGCTTTGCATCCCCCTTGGAGTGAAAGGCAGGGTGCAGACTGAATTGAATAAATTAAAAAATAAGAAACCACATTTGAATGTTATAACTTGAATTAATATTTAATGGCTTTTCCATATTTGGCTCTATGCTGTATTCTGCATTTAGGATCTGCCTAATATACACTGACCCTTCTTATCACAAATTTTGGAACAGTAGGCCTCACAGGGTAGCTTTCTAGCCTGACTATACAGAACCCCCACCAGAATAGTTGGCCCTTTCACTGATCAGTAATCCTTACCGCCCCAGCCAAAATTGCTGGTAACTGTAGAAAATACAGACATCTGCTGGAGGTAAATAGTATAACAAGATACTGCATGTTTTGCTATGGGGCACATACAGGAGGCTGTAAGTTTCCTTTTCTTCATCTTCCTCTTCTTCTTGCACTTTATATCCCACCTTTCCTCCAAGTACCGTGGGGCAGCATTCACAGTTCTCGCCCCTCCGCATCCTATTTATCCTCTTCTGATGTTCTTAGGCCTTTCTTCTTATATGTGACAGAAAGGTGAATGCTTCTTCGTAGACAATGGTCACAAAGATCCTGAAAGCCGACGGCATGGGAGAGGAATTCCTTCCTATTTTAGAGGAATGCCTTTTCTAAGATTTGTAAGATCACTAAGCTTTTGGGGGGAGGAGTAATCTGCTGCTCAGTTAATTGGGCATATCTTTTAAATGCTTGCAAAGAGTTTTCATGGATTAATCAAACTGGTTGACTAAACAATACACCCCTTGGCCTCCCCACCTCACCCACCCTTAGCCCCTCCAGCCACTGCATAAACTGCTAGCAAATCAACCAGGCTTATTCCATGTCTTTCCCTGCCCAGGGTGAGGAAGAGGGAGGACGCAGCTACTCTACCTTGTCAACAGTGCGGGAAATCGAGACTCAGACAGAGATGCCGCCGCCACCACCCACCCCTATCCAGGAGAACGGGACGGAGAAGGAGAAGGAGAAAGAGGAGGAGGAAGAGCGAAAATAACATCAAGCAGGCCATGACGCACTTCATCCAAGAGAATGGCACCCTCCGAGCCAAACCCACCACCAACGGCATTTACATCAATGGCCGGGGACACTTGGTGTGACGCTTGTCCTTGCCGAAGAATTCTGGGACCTGGCAATGCACTGAAACTTCCTTCCCATTGCCTGCTGGTGTCTCCCCCGGGTAAGGGAGCAAGCAGTCCATAAGACTGAGGAAACTCTTCTGAGCCACTCGCCAGCTTGCCTGCAACACCAAGACTCTGCAGTTTCTTTGTAGGCCTAAACACCCTTCCTTCTCCCCCCACCCCCAAATTGGTTGTCTAGTTCGCCTGCTGCGTGCCCCGAAGGACGGAGAAAACCAAACCCCCCCCCCCAACGGTGTGGACAGCTGACAGTAACCACCAGCTCACTTAGAGATCGGGAAACTTCTTTAATGACTCCTGCAGAACTATTTACACTTGCCTGGATTCTGTCTGAAAAGAAACTCTGAACATTCAAGACACGTGATTCTAAGCAGGCCATCAGGCAGGGGTGCCCCACTTGGTTAAGTTGCAAGGTAGTTATTTTTTTTTTTCCTGGGCTCAGGGACGGGTACCGTGAAACTTTGGTGTCTTTTTTTTTTTTAAATTATGATGATTATTATTATTAGGTCAATTTCATAGCCCTCAGCGGTTATGGACAACAGCCACGAAGCCGGAAGGCATTTTTTTTTAAAAGAAAAGTCTTTAAAGGATTAACCTCTTGCCTGAGAGAGAGGCCTGAATTAGGTTGTTTTAAGAGCACAAGAGATAATGGTCATAAGTCACCGTAGCTCCCTCTGAGCTATGAATCAAATGCTCTGGGAGGGAAAGTGTGGGATTTTGTGATGTGGGAGTTCACTGTGGGCAGGATCCTTGACTTCCATGGTTCAGTACCCTTCCTGGTCTTTTTTTCACAAGTCCTACCTGGATGACACTGCTATGGCATGTTTTGCCTGCCTGATGAAAAAAAGTGATTCACGGATGACTGTTTTGATGGCCAGAGTCCCAGCAGGTATGGCTCCCCGTTGGTACATAAAAGTCCTGATTGGCCCATGTCACTGAAGTCACACGCCCCTTAGAGGGCAGATTTGTGCGATCATCTCAGACTGATCAACTGAAGTTTGGATTCACAGGCAGGGCTTGCTTGATGCAACTGAGGGCTTTAATATACATGGCGGAAAAACAAATTAGTTCATTCTGACTGTAAAGTTAAAATACAGCAGGGGGAGAGAACATGCTGATTATATGGAGGATGGGGAAGCCACCTGGACAGATTTTTGTTGTTGTCGTTGCATGAATCTCCAGAGCCAAAGGAAAACAACAGAAATGAATTCCTACACTTTGTGTTACAAGATGCAGTGCGGAAGGGAAAGGGGGATTGTCGCGTCTCTGTCCTTGATATAACACATACAGAATGTTTGAGCTTTTTTGTGCCCTGTTCCTTTCTTCTCTTCCGCCCCAAGCAGGTTGATTTTAGATCTGGTTCACAAGTACAGGTAATCACTTGGCTGTGACACACTTGTTAAATTGTAGCTGAACATAGGAAAGGACTCCCTTGAAAAGCTTTTGTGGTGTTTACGCTGATGTGGGATGTAGCACAATGTTTCTGTGGTGCTGAAACTGCAATGGCGTGTTTGCTGGCGCAAATTAATCCCTTGAAGTCGCTGCAGTGGGAACTGCTTGTATAGGCCCCTGCCCCAAAAGGAAAGGGCTTGGAGGGTCTGTTTGCTCAGAATACACATTCTGCATGCAGAAGGCATCAGATTCTCCAGGTAAAGGTACGTCCAGATAAAGGGCATCGCAGCCCAGAATGTATCTGCTGATCAGACCAGACACTGAGTTAGGTTAACCAAAGGTATGAGGTTACAGAGATTTCTGGCATCACCTGCTTTGCATGCACAAAGCTCAGTCCCTGGTATCTGCAGGTGAAGGATCTTGGGCTACAGGTAGGTGCTTAGGAAAAACTTTTCTGTGCCTAGAGGTCTGAAGAACCGCTGTCTGTCAGAGCGAACAGCACTGGGCTAGACGACCCAATGGTCCAACTTGTAATGTAGCAGCTTCATAGTGTGTGAGGTGATAGTGGGAACACACTTAGCACTTGATTTTAAAGGAGGGTGTTAGACACACATACACACCTTGCCTGATGCCCTGTTGTCCCTCAGTGACTGAAGCTGGATGTGTGAAGGGCCACCACTGAAAATGTATGGTATGTGGAAGGACGCCCTGACTTGAATGGCCCAGGCTAGCCCACTCTGGTCAGATCTCGAATGCTAAGCAGGGTTAGCCCTGGTTAGTACTTGGATGGGAGACCACCAAGGACATCCACGGTCGCTATGCAGAGGCAGGGAATGGTAAACCATCTCTTGCCTTGAAAACCCCAAGGGGGTCGCCATACGTTGTGGGTGACTTGATGGCAAAAAAGAGGGGGATATGAAGTTTGATCTAAGATCTCTCATTTGCATGTGGAGATTGACACTTGATATATTGCGTCACTTCACTGACAGCTGATGTTGTGCAATGGTTAAAATGAGTCAGGGAACCTTGGTTTGGATCTTGCCTCTGCAGTGAACGATCTAGGTGGTCTGAGGCAAGCTGCCCTCTCTCTCTCTTTCTCTCTCTCTGCCTCAACAGCGGTATGAGGATAATAATACTGGCCTACCTTACAAGGTTGTTGTAAGGATTATAAGATAATGTGCGTGAAATGATGGAATGTATGTGTGGACTGCCCATTAGTCCTTCTCAATCAAACTGACTCCCCCTCCCATCTCACAGTTCATTGTCACCAGTCCCACATGGAAATATCTCATCTCTTTGTTTAAATTGTTCTTTTTTAAAATTGGAGAGACTTTGAGAGTTGAAATAGCATCAGACCTCCAAGGCTTTGTGCTTGATATAGCCTCCCCCTCCCCCCCACATAAACTAGGCAATAACAGCCGGTGTTTTCAAGCACAACTTGGGCACTTATCAATCAGACTGCTGGTGTTCAAAAATTCAGCTGTTTTCCAGATTCATTAACAAACAGAATTTTCCAGGAGACTCAGGGAAGAGCTCTGTCAAAAGTTTGTAGCAGCTGGTCCAAGCTGAGCTCACACTCATTCCAAATGGCTCCCCCAGGCTCAGTTCCCACGTGCTAACAGAAAGCTTAGTTAACGTGGTTTTATCGGTTCTGCCACCATTGTGGCCACGGGAGGCATTTTCCCCTCAAGATGGCCAATGGCCATCTCCCGGAAGGGCTCCCTCTCTTCTGCTTATGCTGACCAGGGATGGACTGGTTCTAGAACAACATGAGAGCCAGAATCCCCTCCACCAAATTCATCTCTGGGACATTCCCTCTTAAGGCTCTTCTCACACTCCTTTGGGGCCTGCAAGTGTTTGCTGTGTGTGTGTTTTTTTTTTTAAAATGTGTAACATTTGTCACTACGCTGTATTTTATTTGTGTATTATTTGCAGCTATTCTTGGTATCCTGAAGGGCAGCTCTTACTTGAAAACTCAATGGAAGCTGGTGGGGTTGCCAGGTTTCCTCAGAGTCTGGGGGCCCTTATGTGGGGCAGAGGATGGTACCTAGCCAATCAGGGGAAGAACTTGGCTGTGCCTAGTGATGCTGGAGTGGAGTGGGGGATGAGCATAGGGCTGACTGCACAGCAAAGTTATCGTGTCAAGCATAAAATAGCCTGTTCCCTTATTCTGGGTACCCCACTACAGATTTCACTCCTTCCTCTGAGAAGGTTAAATCCCTAAATTGTCAAAGGCTGAGGCCTGGCAACCCTACAACCTGGGGAAGGGAGTGGAAGTTTTCTTCAAGAATGCAAAATCGGCCTCAAAGCCACCATCTCAATACAACAGTTTGTCAGTCATGAGGTAAAGGGGTCCTGATGGAGATCTGTGACACAGAATGGTATTTTTAAAATTTCACCACCCACACACTGCAGCTGAGGAACTCCACACCACTGGAATAGTATAACTGTGCATCTACTTTATCACGGCTATCTCAAGTGGCCCAAGGGACAGCCCAAAATGTTCCTGTTAACAGTTTCTTCACAAAATATTGTGAGCACTTATTTACAGCAAATGTATTGTTCCTTACCTCATCAACTTCTGAAGTCTCTGGGCAGGTGACCTCTCGGTTTGGGGCAGAGCCTGGGAAGGCAGGGTTTGGGGAGGGCCTCATTAGGATGTAATGCCATAGAATCCACCATCCAAAGCAGCCCTTTTCTCCAGCAGAACTGACCTCTGTAGTCGTAATTCCAGGAGCTCTGCAGGCCCCACTGGAAGGCTGGTGAGTGACCCTAGTGACCGTGTCCTTCTCACATGTCATTTCCCCAAAACCCAGGCAGCAGGAAGGACTTAATTTGACCCAGAAGCTCACTCACTCCAAAATAAGTGTATTATCTTGTATAGATAACAAAGCAAATTTGAATGAACTTCACCAGAAACTGAAGAACAGAATTAAGTAGCTTAGAAATGCTACTGTGAGGTATCTCTGTCCTTTGTAATCAGGGTGCAAAGCCACTGTTCCAATATTTAGCAGGCTGTGTAGCCAGTTACCCATCAGTCATCTTTCTCCCTGACTCTCCAAGAAGTGTTAGTGGCCTTGCTGTTGTGGCCCATGCTAAGGCCTAGTCTACACTTGCAGCAGAACAAAGTGGCAGGATTAGGTTTACCATCCTCCCAATGAGGACAGGGTATTCAGTTTAACCATCCCAAAGAATCATGGAAGCTGTAGTTTGGTGAGGATCCTGAGATTTAATATGTTGTGAAAGGCAACAAGTAATCCTGAGAATTTTCTGATACAGATATTTAGCCTGTGTCCACATGAGCACCAACCTTTAATACAAATACAGTTCCATGAGAAGAGCAAAGGACCATTATCTATAAGAGTTTATGTTTGTGGGGTAGATGTAATCTAGCTGTTTTGTAATTGATGCAACAATTAAAGATTTCCACCCGGCAGCCTCACTTGGTTCAGTTGCTAAGTATCATTTTCATGATTTCAATCCCTACGTTGTTTGATCTTCATAGCAATCAAGGCTGCATTTAGCCAATTAATGAGGACAATTATCTGATTACAATCTTTTGATTGATCAAAAACTGCCCCTGGTTAATTTTTACAGTTATTTTTACCACAGCTGCTTAAATCATAAGGTCTCAGGCTCCATCTTAGAAGAGCCATTCCTCTTCTCCTACACACAGGAAAGAATGTTTATTCCTAGCAGCATCACCCCTTCTCTCAGGCCTGGTCTACTAAATCATACAATCATTTACCACATTCCTACCTGGTCTT